GAAAGATTAGAGCAAGTTTATAATTTATCATCTTAAAAGAAGATGTAAACACTGAATCCTGAAATATATATATATATATATATATATATTTACCTGCTTCTCGGTGTCATCATGATCAAGATGTGACAAATATATCAGAGTCTCCCTCATGATCTGCAACAACAATTGGTCGTCACAACTTGGTAAAGAAAGATTTCAAAAAATGAAAACCCTAAGGTATTAAACATCCATTAGTTTTGAAAAGGAGAAAAAGAAATATATCATGGCAAAATAAAATAAGACAAAGCTACAATTCATATGTTTGCAAAAGATAAGATTGGTAAACCTTATATTGAACAAGAACATCATTGTCCTTCATGGTTTCACGAACAATGTTCCCATTTTCGTCTTCAACAATGAGAACCTCTTCTGGCTTGGCCATACGAGAAATCATAAGCATCCTTAACTTTGACATCGGCTCAGCATATAGTTGCCGTCTTTGCATAAGTTGAGAGCCAATGCCATCAACCATACCAGGAAGCATAGGAATCTGCATATTCAGTACAAAATCAATAAGCCAGCATAAGCAACCCTTCAGAGAAGGAAATGAAATTGTAATTTCAGGAAAAATAGAGATCATCTCTTCAACTATCCAGAAAATAACACCTTTCACCAAAAGCACCAAGAAATATAACAGAAAAAGCAATACCTGCAAACCCATCATATTGGCTGCTACTGCAGGATTATCCAAATTATGGTGTGCCTCAAATAGCTCCAACACAAATGAATTCCAATAGTCTAAGCAAACCTGTTACCATCACCAGGAGGTAATATGTTTCAGTAATTATACTTTTCACCCACATGCGTGAGAAAGACGCGAGAGAAATAGATCATAAATATATATATACCTTAAAAACTTCTGTGTCATCCACATACGATATTTTAATAAGATATTCAAGACCCATAAGCAATGCAGCTATATTATCTCCAGGGGCTTCCAATACACGGATGTGAGACTGCATACAAGGGGAGAATGTTATGAATATTCCACTGTACTAAACCAAAAATTTCAAATTTTCTGCCAATAATGTCATTGTTTAAGTTCCATTGAATTCTTTCAAGTGTGCATAATGATAAAATGAGCCAACAGTTGAGACTCTGAACATTGCAAACTAAAATAAAGTAATTAAGAAAAAATTTAAAAGCCCATATAGAGCTATAGACTTGTATCAGTGTTTTAAAAAGCGCCTGAGGCGCACGCACCTCGTGGCAAGGCACTGGAAAAGCGCCTCAACTCCAACGCCTCACAGGGTAGGAGTTGAGGTGTGCGCCTCAACCACTTGAGGCGCACGCCTTTGAGCGGTGCCTCAGGCGGTTAGTGAGGCGTACGCCTTGCCTGTATAGGGTTTTCGGTGGTTTTTTTAACCCTAACTGAATTGGGCCCGCTGGCCCCAAAAGCCCAAATACCAGAGACCGAGAAAATCGAACCTCTCCCTCACTGCGAAATCTTCTCCTCATTCTTTCGCACCTCTCCCTCCTCGCCGTGCCTCCTTCGCAGCTCCTTCTTCTTCACCGACCGCCATATCCTCCTTCTTCGCCGACCGCTGTTCGCTTCTTTCTTCTTCTTCTTCTTTCCCGGTGCCGTGCCTCCTCCTTCTTTGCAAGGTTCCTTCACCTTTGCTCCAACCAGCCGCGGCCGCACCAGGACTTCACAAGAGGTATCTAATCTCTTCTAAACCTTTTTTTTTCCATTTTGAAGGCTTACTCTAATATGTATATTAAAAATTTTTATTCTTATGCATTGATGTTCCTTATCTGTGTTTATGAGAGAAACCATTTGTTACAGTGGCCACTTGTTGCCATTTTAATTTATTATACGTAGCTTATCGGAGTCACAACACCTTTCATACACTGAGAGATTTAAGTTGGCTGATGCTTCTCTTAGTAGTGATGATGATTGATGAGTTGGGCGATTAGGCTTTTAGAAGTGCATTATGAACCTTATGATATTAGGATTTGATAATTATTTAGTCTTTTATGTGGATGTTTGGTTAAATTTCTTGTTTTTAATGATTATTAAGTATGGATTTAGTTTTTGTTACTATTATTTTTTTTTTTTTCAAAATTTTTTACAGGCATTTTTTGAGGCTTACGCCTCACCTCGTAAAGGCAAAACGCCTCAAGGCCTGATTCTGCCTTTTAAAACCTTGACTTGTATATAGTCTACAATAACTCATTCCACGTTTCAGATTGGGCAGAAACAATTCCACAATCATGACGCAGCAAACGTTATTATATGCAGTCAACAAAGCAACAAATAAAACAAAAAATTCCTGTTGCGTGCTAATAAAACATACTTATACTTGGTGCCATATGAGAAGAGTCATTAAACAAACAGGATAAAATTAAGGATAGGAAAAAAATTATACATGTAGCGAGAAAAGAATCTTACCTTAAAAAATGAAGTGAAAAACAAGGCCAAATTCTGAATGAAAGCCTGAAGAGGGAAAATAAATAATGAAGTACAAACCAATAACATAAAAAATATGAAAGAAACATGTTGTATATAAATATGCTATTATATGGTGAATTAGACAATACATACCTGTTCTTCGCTAGACCCATGTCCATAAGCCTCGGGAATGTTTGTATTCAGAGGGAGAACAGTCTAACAGGCCAAAGAGAAAAACTTTAAGTGCCAAGAAGAGAAATATAAAATATAATTACAATACAACAGAAAATCAGACAATAAAGAATGCGCCCAACTATATGCTTAGTTGTGTGCTAAATTATACAGAGAGATAAAGAATAAATCAGAAATACCTGCAACTGCGCCATGAATATATTGTACATCTTAACATATTGCACATTGTAGAAATCTCCGAAACTGAGAGCTGCAACCTAAATACAAGTACAGTCAACAATGAGAACCAGGCATGATTTAGAGAAATCATTACTTACAATGGGAACAACAAAATACCTCTGTTAAACACTGAAGGGTGAGGTTCCGATAAGATGGCATGGGAAAAAATTTCAGTAGTGTTTCAAGCTGCAAGCACAGATACACAATCAAACATGTGGTACTACAGATAACTACGAAAAAGGTAATTCAATAACCATCCAAGAACAAGGCACATACCAATGGAGACTCAAAAATATAGCCTAGAGGAATCCACGAGAGGAAAGCATGTAATGTGGACAGTGTTGCACGTATAAGCTCAGTTCTTTGAGATGCTGATAGAACATATAAGCATAACTCATGAATGAGTTGAAACTCACTGCAACAACCAATCATATTCTGAGTGAGATTGGAAAAGCACATAATATATTGCCAAGGTATACAGGGACAGGTTGATAACACAATCATAGCTCATCATGAAATGGCTAGAATCTGGTAGTACGTAACCAAGAACTGCCAGTAATGCAGAGGGCAAGGAACACCACAAAACAGGGATTAAAATACTACTAGTTACGGCAATGATAGAATCAATGAAGAATAAAACACAATAACAATTCCAAAGCAATTCATAATGACCTGTTCAATGATTGCTTAAGCTCTTTAATCTTATTTTGAGTCATCTCTCCCCTTGAGAAATCAAAAACCTCTTCGCTTAGAAGCTGAACAAAACATATTCAAGCGATTAGTGCTGACACATGGGCAACCACTCAAACTTATTTTTAAAGTTAATGGAGAAAGAAAAAGGATAAAAAAGAGAAAGAGATACTTACCTTCAATATAGCCATGCAATTCTCACAAATTGTTTCACTGGTTTTAGCAGCTGAAACAAGATCAGGAATAAAGCTTCGCCATCTTGCTGGCCAATCATGCTTTAAAATCTGTACTTTGAAATTAAAAAATCATCCAATGAGAGGGCAGAGCAAATTGACATAAAGTTTAACAGGTAATTGTGGACGAGAGAGATAAATTTGACAATAAATTAAGCAAATAAATTCTGGATGAGCATAAACGGGACAAGATAACGGAAAACGCAAGACGAGGAAAATCACCAATGACACAACTACCTGTAATCATAAAATAACACTGTTTTGAATAGCATCTGGATTTCACAATAAAGATTTTTTTTTTTTTTTTGATAGGACGAATTCACTATGAAGATGAAGAAGGGAACTTGCCTGAACCAATATGATATTCAATTTGTTGACATACAGTCTCTCCATCCGAAAAGAAGCCTCATTGCTTGAAAGCTAAGTAACAGATGTAAAGGTAAGAAGACTGGATGTCGTAAAAGCATATCTACCAACCAAAACATGCCAACTAGTTTAACTTTGCATTTCATACAAATCTAAACTGTACCTGCACAATTACATCAGATATGTAATTTTTCATTCCATCTCTCTGCTCAACAGGCAATGCATTCCATCTGTACTTGATAACACCTTCTAGGACCTGTATGTAGAAGCAAAGTCAGCAATGAACCCATTTATGATCAATTCCAAATGGAATCCTCAATATGCTAATGAACAAAAGAGACTATACATTCTTACAGACTAATAGGTTGTTTAAAACCAATGCAACCAACCTGCAACGCAAAGAACTTGGTATTTAGGTTCTTTGTGTTTTGTAGAATGTGCACAACTTGGAGCCACATATCAGGATTGTTTTGCAAGTCCCGCAAGATCTGGTCTGCAGCTGACCTCTGTTTCAGCGACATCAAAGCCACAGAATTTTTTGAGAAGATTACACTTGGAAAAAGAATATAAATATATATATATGCCACTAGTTGAGCACACAATCTGTTACGCCAAACAATATTTCTCCAGATTTAAACACGAAATTTCGCCTTAAAAACAAAAGTAAACTTATTTTTAAATACTGTTGCAATTCCTAAAAATCCTACAACATCTAATACAATCCAAAAGGCCAATGTGGCTGCACTAGTAAAATTACAAATTTGAAAACTATAACGCATGAAAAAATGTCCACAGAAGCACAGGTATTTCAGGAAAGCCTTGGAAGCCTAATGGTTGACTAGAAGCTTAAATTAAACGTAATCGTTCCTCAATTTTCTACGTGATCAGAACAGAAAGAGTACTAGTAAATTATCCTCTCCCTATGCAAAAAATCCACATCTGAAAACGTTGAGATCCTCAAGCGACTAAGCCTAAATCCTCCTCCCCCTTCATTAAACCCTTAATACCAACATAAGCAAAAGAATTGTAACGAAGCAAACCAACTCCGAACGCCAAAAACCTTTGCAATCCAATTCATCGCATACTCTCCCATGAAATAACAAAAAAAAGTACAGAAAAAAAAAAGTAAAAGCAAGGACAAGGTTCCAGAAAGTTCAATTGAGTAGAGTCCCAATTTGCGCGCATGCTTTTCTCGGGAACCAAACAGAAAGTAGGAAAAGGAAAGGAAGACCAATCACTCACCTCTTCCTTAGATCCGGTGCCGTAGAAGGCGGCGACGGTGGCGTCGAGCAGGCCGACGTCAATCGGCTGGCTCAAATCCCGAAGCTTCTCGGCCGCCATAATCAGAGAGACAAGCAAGGCAATTTAAAAAAAATAAAGAACAAGAAAAACAAACAGTCCGATAAACCCTAGAGAGAGAGTCCGGACACTGTATGCGCGCACTGGAAAGGAAGGAAGGAAGAAGAAGAAGCAAACCCTAGGAGAGATAAAGATTCTAGAGAGAGAGAGGGAGGCGCGGAGGGAAGGAGGGATAGTTGATAGATAATGGTGAAGAGAGGGAAATCGGAAG